CCAAATAATTTTTTGCATAACGATTTCAAATAAAAGGGGCTAGCCTTGCCTGAGAAAGTCCAAATATTAAATATATTAGCAAGCAGGAGGGACAGGGATAATCAGGATGCTTATTCGTGAACAACTGACTGCTGCTAAATTATCCTAGGTCTTTGAAGTTTCTGCAGGATGACATACTCATAAAGTCACCAAATCTGGAATTAAAACTGCAAATGAACCAATCTGGAAATATACCAAGACCCGTCACACTCAACAACAAATATAGTGCTTTAGTGCAGCAACACTTAAAAACATGTGCTCATGCAACACCGGAATACCTCATGCCCCAATGAGCAGTAACATTTGCATGGTTTCTCTCATCCACAACAGAATTCAAGGTTTAGACAATCCAAGTAATCTGGACTTCCCGTTGGGACAAAATGCTAGTCCGTTTGCAAAGGAAAAGACGATAAACAACTACGTGAGTGTACTCTGCTGGGTCACTGGCTTCAGGAACGTGGAAAAGAGGGCAACAATTAAGCAAAACCACATTAAAACTGAGACTAATGGAAGGTGATCTGGATTTTCAGACTAAACGTGGACCTGGTCTTGACTTAAACTGTAATAAGTAAAGTTAAACAGTCATTTGAGGGGGGAAAAACGTTAAAACAAAATATTTTTGTAGTTAAAATATTGTTTTTCTTTTATGTCTTAAACTTATAAAACGTTTTTTAAAACAAAAGGTACAATTAGTGTTACTAATCCATTCAATTACCTTTCAATCAATTAATCGAACACTTATTTTAGGATTTGAACTCATTCAATTAAAGCCTTGTAGTTAACACGGACAGCCTAATGGACATGTCCAGACATTCCTCCTTCCCAACTTCAGCCCCAACATCTCCTATGCTCCCCCAAACGCGTAAAAGCCGCGCCTCCCCACAAACCATCAACTCCCCGAGACGTTTAATGTCTTACCTGTTAAATAGCATGGGTTTTAGCCGTTTTAGTACAGGAAAAAGTTCCCCCGGTCTCGTGAGCGTACCTCCACGCGAACTCAGCTCCAACTTGATCCAGTAAGGTAGGCTACTGGACGCTCAGCTCCTCCTTTTCCTCCTCCTCCTCCTCCTCGCATGAGGTCATCTGTAGGGAGGATGCCAGCAGCTTGGGAACGAAGTCCTTCATCCTCTTTTTTCCCGGAAATCTCAACAGACACGACCAGATCTGATCAGACATTTATTTATTTGAATGAAAAAGGGTTAAAAAATAAAACAAAGTAAAAAAAAAATTATACGCGCGCGCACAACAGCAGTCATTTTTATATCAATTTTCCAAATTACACCTTTTTATTATTTACTTCATATGACGTCACTCAATATAATTTTTGATTTATTTTGTTTAAATTGGCTTTTATGTGAATTCTCAATTCCTCAAAAAAAATTATTACATTTAGGGGAAACTTGCTCCTGCACACCTGACTTGAATCAGCGCTGATTAGCCAGGTTACTGGCTCTTAAACACAGGTGACTTAATCAGGTGTGTTAGAGCAGGGAAACACTGAAAACATTTTAGCCAGTGGCCCTTCAGGAACTGATTGAATACACTTGATCTGTGATCTCCAACTCTGGTCTTAGACAGCCAGATCCAGTGAGTTGCCTGCACCAACACACCTGATTTGAGTCAGTCGGTGATTAACAGGCTTCTGCAGAACTTGATCTGCTGAACAGGTGATTAAGCCATTGAATCAGGAGTTGGAGCAGGGAAACAACTAAAACATGCTGGAGAGGCCTTAGTAAAAGTTTCTGGGGAAATTATTTCACCTTCTTTTTGCAGCAAACAGTCCAGAGCTGAGCTAGTCTCTATGAATTCTGTGTTTATTTATCCTCTAATGCATTTCTTTCTGTTTCCTTATTTTTACATATTTGCATCCTTTTAAAACGTAGGCGTGATACGGTTGGAGGCTTGGGGAAAGCTTGTAGTTGGACTTGGAAGGCTGCCTTTCCGTGTCTTGGCCCATCACTTGGCCAGATTATCAACGGGAGCCTCAGCACAGGTGTGGTCCCAGCTGCTATGAAAGCAGCAGTTGTTCGGCCGACCCTGAAGAAACCTGGTGCAGATGTCTCTGTGGTCGAAAATTACAGGCCTATCTCTACCCTGCCTTTTACATCAAAACTGCTTGAGAAAGTCGTTTATCAGCAGCTGGTCTCACATTTAGCTGACTCTGATCTGTTTGAGGTTTTCCAATCAGGGTTCAGGTCTGGCCATAGCACAGAGTCAGCTCTACTGAGGGTCTTAAATGATATCTATCTATCACTAGATCAGGGTACATCTGTGGTGCTTCTGTTGTTAGACCTGACGGCAGCCTTTGACACAGTTGACCACGCGATTCTACTCGATCACTTGGAACGATGGGTTGGGATCAAAGGGTCAGCTCTGGATTGGTTTAGATTGTATCTCCACAACAGGACATTCTGTGTTAAACTGGGTGATGTTTTTTCTTCTTGGGAGGGGAACCTCTGGGGGGTCCCGCAGGGATCGATCCTTGGTCCTCTTTTATTTGCAATTTATCTGCTTCCTCTGGGGGTCAATCTTTCGTAAACATGGCCTATCATTCCATCTCTATGCTGACGATTACCAGATTTACTTTCCATTGTGTCAGGAGAAAGGTCTCTCTATCCAGTCCTTTGTGTCCTGTCTTAATGAGGTAAAGTCTTGGTTAATGGCCAACTTTCTGCATCTGAATGAGGGAAAGACAGAGCTCATTGTTTTTCAATAGCAGGGCTGTGGGTCGTTATGTTGATCTTGGCCCTCTTTCTCCCTACTTAAAACCAGTTGTCACCAGTCTGGGGGTGAAAATTGACGCTGGACTTAAATTTGATGCTCACATGAACTCTGTGATCCGGTCCAGTTTCTTTCACCTGAGACGCCTTGCAAAAATCAAGCCTATGCTGTCAAGAGCCCACCTGGAGCGGGTACTCCATGCTTTTGTAATTTCTAGGCTTGATTACTGCAGCTCTCAATATGCAGGGTTGTGTCAGTCATCACTGCGTCGCCTACAGGTTGTGCCAGATTCCTGACTGGGACCAGGAAACGGGACCACATCAGTCCGGTTCTGGCCTCCCTGCACTGGCTTCTGGTCTGTTATCGTTCACACTTCAAACTCCTCGTCTTTGTTTACAATTTCTTCCAGGGTGGTGCTCCACCCTATCTGGCCACACTCCTGAACAGACATTCACCATCACGCGCTCTGCGCTCCTCTGACCAAGGCCTGCTCGCTGTCCCTCGTTCTAGGTGCCGTACTCGCGGGGACCGGGCTTTCTCAGTCCTAGCACCGTCACTCTGGAACCAGTTGCCACCCTCAGTTAGGCTGTCACCATCTCTGCCAGTCTTTAAGAGTCACCTAAAAACCCACCTCCTCCACTTGGCGTTCCCTGAACGTGTTTGAATTCGGCCCTCTTTTATGTTGATTTTATTTCCCTGTTTTCTTTGGTTTCTTTATCCCTTGTTTTACCCATTTGTCTTCTACTTCAGTGTTTTACCTTTTTGCACTATTTGAATTGCTTTTATTTTCGATTTATTCATCATGTTTCACATTTCTCATGTACCATGTTCAGCGCCTTGGGCTTTCCAACAGGGAGGCACTTTATAAATAAAGTTTTGATTGATTGATTGATTGACTTTGTGCTGAGATTATGTCACCGAACAGAAGGAATCTTTGTTTACTTCAAAATAAAAGCTCAAGGCATTCTTGGTATAAAATTACAAATTGATTTTATTTTAAGTAATTCATTTACCTTTTAATCAAAACAGTGGAACCAGACATCTGATTTTTAGATTAAATCAATTTACTGTAGTTCACTTTTATTGATTTTAGACTGAAATCGTGGTTTTAAGAAGCAAATTCACTAGATTTGTTGTAGAAGATACTTAAATACAGCCTGGTGAACTAGACCAAATTCTTGCTTTGCAAAGTGTAAATAATATGATTAGTCTGGCTAGTCAGGTTAACTTAAATACAGTTTCTGCAACCCTCTGGTCTTTTCTGCAGCTCACTGTGACCACAGTGACCTCATGTGGTAATATTTCATGCAGTTTGAAGAAAGCTGCATCATAGTTCCATCCTATTTTCTGTCATCTTTTGGAGTGAGGCCGTCTCTCAGGTCAGTGGGGCTCCAATGGATGGGCACATACTGGCAGTCCACAGGTCAGAGGACCACCGACTGCTCTGAGTCCCCAAGCAGAGCCAAGGAGGTCTCTGAACTCCACACACAGATGGTATCAAAGGCATGCATGAGCGGCAGGAGCCTCCCTGAGAATTTCAGGTCAGCACATTGTGTTTACGAGGCAATGGCTGCTAACAAAGGAGCAGATATGTCTGTAGAAACAAGAACAAACAAGAAACTGGGTTCTGACGTGGCAAACACGCATTTAGACACTGTGGATGAAGCAGATTTTGGATTTTTACACCGAGTGGAACGTTCTTTTTAGTGATCAATCGCAGAGGTGCATCTTAACATGGATTTCTATCAAAATCCATAAACTCAAATTTGAAATAAAACAAAAACATTCGCATTTCTGATATTTTAAATCTTGAATTGTATCTTTTATAGTTAGCATGTTGTATAAAAACCCACCAATGCATTTATCCTGTTACATAGGATATTTAATCTAGAGCATATTTGAACAAGTAAAACAATCATTCTGTGTGTGTGTGGTTCACTTGTACATTTAATTGTTTTATGGACTTTGAACTGCTATTATCAGTAATTGATACTTTTATTCTACCGAAATGTTTTTAAATAAATGTAACCTTTACTTCCCCTCATCTTTCGAACTTATATTTCTTGGGAACAATGAGGCTTCAAGCAAACCAGAACTTGTTTTGTAGTTTTAACGAACAGTTAAAAGCTGCAAAACTGAATGTATAAACTGAATAATATAATGTATAATAATTTTAGAAACTGACCATTTTGCATTAGAATCATATGGATAAAGAATAAAAAAAAACTCAAAACAGAAGATTTTTGTGAATTGTGCATTTTTATTTAAAAGTTTGCCCATCTCTGGGTTTGGGTGAAACCTAGATAAATTAGTTTGCTGCCATCTAGTGGTCATTTTATGTAGTTGCAAGAAGAAGAAACTGGAAAAGTTAGTTGCCACAAAGTTAAAACATTTTTTTTCTTATTTTTTTTACTAAATCCACAATAATTGCCAAGTGATACAGACGAATTCACTTAAAGTTTAAGCATCTTTTACTTCCCCTCTACAAACTTTACACTTACTTTAGCCCAAATGCCATCAGCTGGTGAATACAACTACATAATTTCTCATAGAACAAAGAAGCATGCTATAAATGCTGGCTTAAAAGCTTCTCATACAAGCAAAACACTAAATGAATGACACTTTTTCTTCTAAACGGTCTAAGGAATGCCTTGTTCTCATCCAACACCCTTCAGACCACCTGACAGTTCCCTCAGGAGTTTAACATCAACACTTCACGATGGCCGTCTCACAGCCCACTTGACACAGCTGCCACCCCAGGAGGCATTTTTAATTCCGATTCACCACTTCCTGGGCTGCTGGATGCAGAAGGACCGTGGGCTGTGAGGCTTCTCCACTGCAGGGAGCACCTTGTTGTGCCTCACGCTCACTGGGGTCTCAGGAAAGTTATGGCTCAGCTGCAAAATAATAAACAAAAAAAAATGCACACTCAGGAGTTTTATCCAAGAAAAGCCAGAGGCAGTGGCAATCATTCCACCTGGGTGGGTGGAACAAGGAGACCATGTTTGTTTACCTTGTCAAGAGTCCCTGTGAGAAGCATGCCAACTTGTTGCATCCTGCTGGGGGTGGAAAGAGGGCGGCTGCACATGTTTGGGAAGAATTCACTCAATAATGAAGAAAACGTCATTTACTTGTGTTAAAAACTGCATGAAGGTAATTTTCTCACCTCAGTTTTTCAGGCTTCTTTGCCTCTGTAGTCCCATGAGTGGCACCCTCCTCCAGAGTCTTCTTGGCCACTCGTTTTCCTCCTGCCTTCACTATCAACAAAAATACATTTACTATAAATAACCGTCATTTTTCTTTAGCTTATCTATTACTAAGTAGAAAAAAGGACAGTTAAATAGTTTTGTTTTATTTTGAAAATCCCCTTTTTTTATTTTCTTAAAGCTGCGCTCTGTTGCTTCACTGCGCCAGCAGGCGGTTAAACATTCGCAAAACTAACAAAACACGTTCATTTTGGTTATAGTCACTTTTTTCAATCATTGGAAGCGAAAAGTAAAGTTTGAAACAAAAAATGTTGGTTAAAAAATCTTTTTTTTTTTAAGAGAAGGCCGAGTCAGCGTTTCCCCCTGCACGCCTTTCTGGGTCAGACGGAGAAAAACAAAAACGCTTTTCTCCAAAATCACCCAAAAAACCGAAACTAAATAGTTTACCTGCTGGAGGGTGACCTGCTTTGAGTAAAGTGGTCTCCTTCGCTGCGGATTTGGAGAGTTGTTGCACCATTTTTGAAAAGTTTCCGCACCAAAAAGCGTCTGATCCGAACGCCCACTGGCTTGTTTGTTTTCAAACTTAGAGACGACGCCCCACCGCGTTACAGGAAACCACAGACACGCCTCTAAGCTCGTGCTTTTGTCTTTGTTTTAAACTCAACAGATGAGATTATTACAAGAAAATGAAACTAAAATGAGATGCGCATTTTATCAGGTTTGTTTTTTACGTGTGTGCAGGGTTACGTCATCAGCTGCTGGTTCGTTTTATCTTGAAATTTCAACCCAGTCTTGATTTTAATTAATCAAAAAAGAATGAAACTTTACTTGAAAAATATTCAGGTTTTTTTTGTTTGGTTTGTTTAATGCAAGGTTATTATTTTTTCTTTGCAGATTATGTGATTAAACTTGAGTTTACCTCAGAAATCCCCAACTGCAATTTAGAGAAATAAAAGATATTCCAAATTTAAAAATCTGCCTTTCAGTTAAATCTCTGAACAAACTGGCAGTTTAGACTCACCTCTTCTGCTCCTTGTGTCATCACAACCGGGAAAAGCGGAATATAACCACATCTTAAGGGCCAGAGAGAGCAGCTCTACTACAAGCCCCGCTTAGATATTGGAGCTTCTCAGCTTATAGCAGCTTGAGTGAGGGAGCTCCAGATTTCTTTCTTAAAGTGGTACTTTACTTATACATTTAATGCATTTGCAGTGGTCTCTGGTAGGAATGAATGCCTTGTAAGTCATTTGAATCAGTTTCGGCTCTCACTGGTGCCAATGAGAACCGAAACTGTCAGTGAAAAATAGATTAAAAAAAACTTTGCTAGTCTGTGTATTATTAAGAACACATTAAGTACTCGTTCAAAAAATTGTGCTCCCATATATTTTTGACCCTAATGGCCATCCGTATCTCTTACTCGAACACAAATATACAATTTTGCTTGCAATGATTTAGGTATACTGCCCCCTAGTGCCAGGAAACTGAAAAACAGTCATAATATTGATTTTACCTCAAAAGAAAGACAAGTTGACATCCTAAGTTTAATTATGGCCATTCCCATCTGTACCTGGTCGGCCTGGCCCAGATAGCATAGGTTGCTTACATATCTTGGTGACCTGCCTTTTTTCAGGATGCAACAAGACTGTTTTTCAGGCCTCTTTCTGAGGTGGTCTGCTTCAGGCTGACCAGGGCCAACACCCCCACTGCTGACAGCAAATTTACACCTTCCATTACAGCAAGCCTCTGATTGGTGGGTCGCATCAGCCCACATGGGCTTAAGGCAAGCTCAATTCATATCATTCATTATCATGCTGATTACCTAGAAGCTGAAAATGTCTCTGACTGCATTCCTTGCATACCTAAGCAAGGATGTGTGGAATCAACCGGGCCAGGCTGGGGCCGACTGGAGCTATCCGGACAGGGCCGACCAGGTACAGATGGGAATGGCCCATCAGATTGAACTCATACCAAACTGACAGAAAGGTACCTTTCTATAATTATTATTATTTGAACCGTTAAGCGCTGATTTTGCTTCATGCATTTTTTTCAGCCCACTCTGCTTGAAGCTTTTTTGATGTGAATATTTACATTTCGCGTGCATTGCAGGGATTACTGGTGATATAAGGCTACACCTTCATATTCTAACCTCTGAACTTGTGGATTTTAACATATTTTTTTTCTAGTGATGATTGTGAAAAGATGTGAACACACAGGTTTAAAAAGCAAAACTGACTTTATTTTCTCAACATGATTGTTATAATGCCATCTGTTTTTTCTGCACATATTTGTATAATTATATATCTTTAGAGCTTTAACGTGGCACAAGTTGATTCTTTTTTTTACTCAGTGGTGATATGTAAACCCGGTAATGCTGTATTCTTTTCTCTGTATTTACAATAAAATGAAAGAAATGTACACGACTCCATAGCATTACACAGTTTAAACACTAAGTACAGACACAATTTGATCCCTCTGTACAATCTAGCATTAGTTAATCTTTTATTTGTTTAACGATGAGTTCATGAACCATTTTGGCTTCAACACACGCACCCTCACATCTCGACTCTCTCCGCGGACCCTCGCTTACGCTCCTTTAACCATGCTACCACAATTACGAGTTCCTTGAAGAAAATAAAACTATCTACACACAAGAGGATGCACATCTCCTCACGGTAGTGTCCGTTATTGTCACTCAGACCCTCCAGCATGATTCCATCTTCTCCTAAATAAAAATAAAAAAACACATTCCTTGATTTCCTTCTTTGGCACACATCCCGTTTATCCACCTGTGACCACTCTGCTCCTCCACACACTCACATCCACTTTAAAACAAACACTTAAAAAGCCAAGTTCATGAAAAAAAGTTTTTTGTTCTTGTGCAGGATGTTCCTCCTCAAGCCCCGAGATGAGAACTGGGGTGGGTTAGATGTTCTCTTTATTTACACCCATGAGTCAGGGGAACCCGGGTACTGCTCTGCCCTGCAGGAAGGCCTCCGTGTGCTCGTGTAATAGTCCACATAGTTAGCAGTGGATTTCAGTCCGTGGGGCTGGTAGTCCACCGTGGGAGGGTAGGTGATGACTTCTTCTAAAAACGTGTCATCGTAGCCATGAGGATGCTGTAGGTACATTCTGTAGGTATCGTAGCTCCTCCTGTTGGGCTCTTCTGTGTAATAAACAGGCTGCAAGACAAAACAAGCAGGAAAAAAATATTATTCATTAAAGTTTTCATGAAATCACTCTGCTTGTCCGGTCTACAAAAATACACAAAGTTTAAACAGTTTCCTATTTATTATTTTCTAACTGCTGACTGGTACAGCTGCTGCCTTTTTGCGGGGTACACCCTGGACAGACTGCCAGTCCATCGCAGGGCAACACAGAGACACACAGGACAAACGACCATGCACACACACACCTAAGGACAATTTAGACAAACCAATTAAAGTTAAAAAGTCCCATTAGTTGTCACACACACAGGTGCGTGCGCGAAATTTGTTCTCCGCATTTGACCCATCCCCTGGGGAAGCGGTGAGCTGCAGACACAGCCGCGCTCGGGAACTATTTGGAGGTTTAACCCCCCAATCCAACCCCTTAATGCTGAGTGTCAAGCAGGGAGGCATTGGGTCCCATTTTTTTCAAAGTCTTTGGTATGACCCGACCAGGAATCGAACCCCTGATCTCCCAGTCTCAGGACGGACACTCTACCACTAGGCCACTGAGAAAGGTATTAACTTTTAATACTAACAATTAACCTAACAGTCATGTTTTTGGACTGTGGGAAGAAGCCGGAGCACCCAGAGAGAGCCCACGCATGCACAGGGAGAACATGCAAACTCCATGCAGAAAGATTCCAGGTCGGGACCCAAGACCTTCTTGCTGCAAGGCAACAGCTCTAACCACTGCACCACCGTGAAGCCCCGCCATTGCCTGATCTTTTATAAAAATGACACGATTGGGTCATACTACCGCCATGTTCTGACCACTTATAAACGACCGAAGGGTCCCTGATGTCGCCACGGCGTTGCGGCAAATTGATGGCACTGTTTTGTAAAAACGGCTTCTGTTATTGCCTGAGAAGGCTTCATCTGTAAAATGAGCTAAAATGCTTTGAAGACAGGTTTTGGGTAGAAGAGTTTGAGAAAGCTCTGTCTGTGTTTATTAGTGTAAATGTTTTGATAGCCTGTTTAACTTGGAAGCCAGAAAGGGGACAGATCTGTGCTGACGTCCCAGCCGCTCTGACTGTTTTATTGCTATTTTACATAGAGGAGCTTGAGGAAGCTTTGTTCGTGTGATGCTGTTAAAATGTTTACAGAAGGTACTCAGGTCAGTACCGGTGTCCCTCACTCTGTTACAGCTTTCTAGAAGCTTTGTTTGTATTTTTTTTATTGCATGTCAAAGCAGAATGAGGACTTACCTTCTCCTAACCCGGCGTGTGTTTGTTCAGAGAAATCCGTTTAGTAAAGGCGTCTGTGGTTAGCTGCTAGTGTTCAGTTTGTTAAAGCTTTGTGAAATCAGCAATGTCATCAGTTTTTTTATGTGAAATTCAAAAGTCACTCATTCTAACTCTCAGACGTTCCTAAAACCCGTGTTTATTTTACTACAGAATTTCCATCAAAAATTCCTTGTCCATTTGTCTCCGGACATTAATGCAACAGGGTTGTCACGGTAACCGGTGTAGAGGTAAACCCCGGTAAAAAAGTTGACAATAATAATAACCGTCTTGTTTTTTAAAAAAACTATATTATCTCGGTGGGTTTAGCGTGGCTGCGGTGTTGGCGCGGTGACCCTTACCAGCCACCGTATCATCTGCTGAAGTTGCCGGCGGCACATGCGCGCTTTGTTGTTTACAACCAAAACTTTCTTGAAGCTAAAGCTGAAATAATGGCCAAAGGAGGAGACGGCAGCGCTCAGGAGGACATTTATTATCCCTCAAAGAAGACAAAGTCCGAAGTATGGGCATATTTTAGATATTTGAAGAATGCAGAGGGACAGTTGATAGAAGACGGCTATCCTGTTTGCAGCACATGCAGAAAAAGAGTCTGTGAAAGGCAGCAACGCTTCAAATCTCATGACACATCTGCGTGACCATCACCCACAACTCTACAGTAAACGCAAGGCAAGCTAACGTTAGCATTTTAGCTAAAATGCGTGATCCGAGGATTTGGGTTGAGGGAGAATGCAACGAGTCGCTATATAAAGCAGCCGCAGCGCCGCTACCTGCATATAAACCGTGTCACGGACACCGCCATATTGAAATGACGCTATGCATTACGGAGCTCCCAGGGGCAGATAAGAGTTGGTCTCTCTCCGAGAATAATTATGAATTTAACAATGATTACTGCCTGATGACATTTTCCCACATCTACAAAGCTCACTGGAAGGACACAAACCGAGGACAATATTTTCCTGATATAGGGTTTATTACTCAAGTAAAGGTAAAAAAGTATCTGATTAGAAGGCTACTTGAGTACTGAGTATCATCTGATCTAATATTTTTTAAATGATGACATCAAACAAACATAAAATAAGAAGTTATGGGCAAATATTGGTATTTTACAGACTAAAGGGGAAAAATGTAAACAAATAAACAACATAATTACAAAATAACACATTTTAGGCAAAATTTAGACACAAACTGAGGACAATATTTTCCTGATATACAGGGTTTATTTAGTTGTTGGAAAATGTAATACGTTTGAAAAAATACCGCGATAATACCGAAAACCGTGGTAATTTTGGTGACGATAACCGTGAGGTTGAATTTTCACACTGTGACAACCCTACTCGTAACAGACCGGTGAGACAAAATATGAAGGTTTTTTTTTCTTCTTAGTGCCTCATCTTTCTCCTCTTCCTCCTCACTGTGCCTGTTATCAGAGTGGGCACACATGGACATGTCCTACAGTGACAGGTCCCTGAGACACGACAGGACATCCCAATCCCAGCAGTCACGATCACTCTTGCACCAACAAAGGCTGAAGCCTATTCCCAGCACCGCCACTGGAATCTGTGCCACATTCTTTGTGTTAGTCAACCGAGGTAGAAGAGCTGCCCGTCATCACAAGATTTAGATCACTACATTTCAAACTAGGTCAAAGACCTGGAAAAAATATCATTAAATGTGGTAAATCTGGGATTTTTATGGAGAATTATTATATTCACCTGTGTTCTTCTGGGCTCTTCCCTTGTGGGCGATGAGTAGTAATACGAAGACGGTTTTCCAGACCCTGAAGAAGGGAAAAAAATAACAACAAAGTGAATTTTGCTGTAAATCAAATGGTATGACTTAATCCAAAACACCTCCTTTCATATCAGTGGAAGAGTCTGCACATCCCCAAAGGGCAAGTGTCTGTATTTAGATAAAGCGAGATCAAGAAGCACCGTGCTATGCAGGAGAGAAATAACACATAATAATAGAGTCCGCCTCTGCTGCTGCGTTGTTTATATAACCCACGGGACGGATATTTTCATTGGCACTTTATCAAACTGGTGGAATCCAGAAACTCAATTTCCACTTCCACATGTAAAACATAATTTGTTGAGGCTACGGCTCATTTTGTTTACTCAGCCTGCCCTTCCTCCACCCCCGCCCTCCTGCTCCCACCAGCCAGCGTGGGCTGCCGAGGGCTCTCGTCAGGCTGTAGATCGTCTGGGTGCCAGCTCACTGCCCGTCTGTGAGCTGAGACTTGGACCTGCTGTTAATGACACCATTGTGAAGTGTCTGCCTTTAAAGCCTTGAAGAATTACTGCTAAAGTGCTCAGGGTTCAACTGGCTGACCGTCCCGGGGCCGTCACGCGTTGAGGGGAAATTATAAGTATGGTCTGTCTTGGCAGAAAAAAGGAGGCCGGGCGTAGGATCTGCTTGGAGCACGAGCAGGAATGGAGCAAAAACAGTCTGGTGCAGAGCTTCGAATGAGGTTTTGTACGGAACATTGATTAGATTTCAGATGAATACCTGTATACTGTTTTCTATGAATACTGCCGTCTCCTTGGTAATTATAAAACTGCATAGTTGACTGAGGTCTCTGATAGTCTCTGATGGTGTCTCTATGCTCTTTGACGCCCAGCATGGCAGGAGACGATGTGGCACTGGCGGCTGCAGAGAAAAATGAAAACAGGAATTCCTGCCTTTAATTCTAGAAAACATTCTGTTTCACTGTCCGGTTACAGTTAACCACACATTACCAGGGTGGGTGACTGGAGACATCTGAATACTGCTAGTGGGGAGGGCGGGCTGGGACTTGAACCTGTCCCGCTCGAGCGTCGACACAGGTGTGACGAAATGGTTTTGGTTCCACCCATCCTGTTACGGCAGCGAACAGACGGAAAACACGTTACCTGTTGCGCAATAACAAAATTCTAGAATCCACTTTACCAACCTTTTTATAGATGGCACGCAGATCCCTGTACTGCCACAACGTGTTCAGCACCTGAGCTGCAGATTTCACCACTTTCAGCGAGTACCTGGAAGATGGCACCAGTTAAAGGCCTCGCCCTTCCATAGAGCATCCGCTCGTTATATCAATACATTTGCTGTGGTCTCTAGTATGACTGGTCGTTCTCTGTGGAAAAACGCTCTGGTGATCCTTTTCCAGGAAGCAGAAGTTAAGACAGATCTATACTTCTCCGTCTGCATTGCGTAGCGTAGCGTAGACATGCCCACATCTTTAACTGTCCTTCCAAAGTGACAGAGACCGCAAGTCTCTGGTCAGGATGTCACTTTCTTTAAATTTGTCAAGACATGGAGAAGAGGGTTTTATGGAAAAAGTCAAACAATATAAACATTAATACAGCCATGACTTAAGGAGTTCAAAGCTAGGCAGTAACCTTTTCTTCGTGGACAAAAATGACGAGAAAAGTGGGTTTGGAGGTGGCGACCACATGGTGGAAGAGAAAGAGGGACTAATTTGTTTGTGTTAAAAAGTCTCTGAAATACATAAACACAAAATAAACACTTGTGGCTGCATAGGTGGCAGGATACCCCCAGATAAGTCCTACGCCCCCTGTTGTCCTGGCGGGGAATTGCTTTGTAACACTCCTCAGGTGACTGAGAAGTCCAAAAGGAAAACAGAGATTAGGCTTTGGCCAAAGGAGTGGGGGGCAGAATACGGCAGGATTTGGAGTCTTAATCGATATTATTCATGATATTCAGATAGCTTGTCTCTGACTGGCTAAAAGCAATGTGACTCTTCCACTGCCTCCATTCGCTTCGCAACACTGATGTGTTATCTCCACAAATGACACAAGCCTGAACCTGTTCCGCCATGTTGTGAAGTTAGCTTCTTCTAGCCGAATCGCTCGCTGGTCTCTCCTGCTGCCAAAATCAACAACAGCCTTTAGCCGAGGCTGCTGTGCGTTTTTCAGCCATCCTAGACAAATCTCTCATCATCAACAGATTCATGACAAAAAATGGTGAACGTGAAGGTGATTTACAGGTCTGTGGCTGTCCAGTGTGACCAACTCAGGGACAGCTTATTGAGCACTCTGACAAACAAATTCAGCCTCAAACAATCTGGGAGAAAACCTACGACTCAATCGACCAAGAAAAATACACCGAAGGAGTGACAAGAACAATGTCAAAGTAGCATTAGCAACATTAGCATGAGTGGAAGCCACACCTAGGAACATGCATGTGGACCACTGTTTTTGTTAGAACTACTGTCTTTTTCTCCTTTCACCATCGTTGCTTTGGGTATGTCAGCTAGTAAACCTTTGCTTTCGTAGAGCGAGATTTTGTGCAGTTTGGTTCACTGAAATCTTTGTCCTTACTAGGGATGCACCGATGGATCGGCATTTGATCCCAATCGGCCGATAGCGCCCCAATCGGTTTTGATCTGAGTTTTCAAAATAGATCAAAGCAGACCGATCAGGTAGGGTTGTCACGGTAACCGGTGTAGCGGTAAACCCCGGTAAAAAAAAGTTGACAATAATAATAACCGTCTTGTTTTTAAATAAACTATATTATCTCAGTGGGTTTACCGTGGCTGCGGTGTAGGCGCGGTGACCCTTACCAGCCACCGTATCATCTGCTGAAGTTGCCGGCGGCACATGCGCGCTTTGATGTTTACAACCAAAACTTTCTTGAAGCTAAAGCTGAAATAATGGCCAAAGGAGGAGACGGAGACGCTTCAAATCTCATGACACATCTGCGTGACCATCACCCACAACTCTACAGTCAACGCAAGGCAAGCTAACGTTAGCGTTTTAGCTAAAATGCGTGATCCGAGGATTTGGGTTGAGGGAGAATGCAACGAGTCGCTATATAAAGCAGCCGCAGCGTCGCTACCTGCATATAAACCGTGTTGCGGACACCGCCATGTTGAAATGACGCTATGCATTACGGGGCTCCCAGGGCAGATAAGAGTTGGTCTCTCTCCGAGAATAATTATGAATTTAACAATGATTACTGCCTGATGACATTTTCCCACATCTGCAAAGCTCACTGGAAGGACACAAACCGAGGACAATATTTTCCTGATATAGGGTTTATTACTCAAGTAAGGGTAAAAAAGTATCTGATTAGAAGGCTACTTGAGTACTGAGTATCATCTGATCTAATATTTTTAAATGATGACATCAAACAGACAAAAAATAAGAAGTTATGGGCAAATATTGGTATTTTAAAGACTTAAGGGGAAAAATGTAAACAAATAAACAACATTTAGGCAAAATTTAGACACAAACTGAGGACAATATTTCCTGACATACAGGGTTTATTTAATTGTGTGAAAATGTAGCACGTTTAAAAAAAATACCGTTATAATACCGAAAACCGTGGTAATTTTGGTCACAATAACCGTGAGGTTAAATTTTCACACCGTGACAACCTTAATACAGACCATTTTAGATTAGGTTACATTTCCTTTATTCCCAGATTATGTAGTTTGTAGCACTCATTATAATGTTGTAGAAAATTTCTGGCCAATCCACATGATCGGTATCGGTGATCAGCATTCTTTGATATCGGTATCGGCAGCAAAAAACCTGATCGGTGCATCCCTAGTCCTTACAGTGTGCCACCTCTCTGGAGTCCTTATGGTGTGATATGAAGTGGTCCTTTGCAGAGTTGAATGATTCTGGAAAGTAATCTAATCGAGATATTTTTTTTTCAATATTGTTATTTAATTCACAATTATTTTCTCAAGGGGTTTTTCTCATATTTTTTAACTAATGGAAAAAAAAACTATGTAACTGTACCGAATATAAACAAGTTTATGCATCTAAATATCATATCTACAAGTTTATTTGTCTACACGTACGTAAACACTCACAAGTAAAGACAAAATGTTATATCTGAAGGTGCAATCCTTTGCAGCCAGGAGCACATCCCTTGAAGGAGCATAGGTATTAGCATCGACTGTGAAAACTTATTTGCAGGAAAGAAGTGTGTCCCATTTATTTAAGTCTTTTGTGTTTAGAGTTTTTGACGTCTTGTCCATGCAGAGCTTCCATAGTTCAGTTACATCCATAGCTGCTAGCCAAAACTCAGTAAAGTTTAAGTCTCTTAGTTTTCTAGCTTTACTAAAATATCTGTCTGTGCCTATTTGATTGATGGCAGTTTTTACTTTTTATTAGACTCCAAATCTAATTATTTGGCACGTTCCTAATTCTTAATTTGTAAGAATGTAATTGGCGATATTAGCATTAGCATCCCTATTGGGTTTTCCATGTATATTAGCATTGCGCTAACCACTTACTGACAGTCAAATCGCAGCCTTTGCGAATATAAAACCTCCTTTTGTCGCACTGCAATTTAATTGCATATGCCTTTGATCGTTCAGCCCTAGCCCTAGTCCACAGTGTGATCCGAGCTTTCCGCGGTCGCTACTCACCAGCCAAGCTAGCTGAGTCAATGAACGCAATTTAACAGTGTGACGCAGATCTGTGTGGCTTTTTCTGACTCGAGCATTTCCAAGTCTGTTTCCTTTCAGCAGCTAATGCAGGAAATAGGGTTGAAGACTATTTTCACGTTCTGCATGCATGTGAAACTCAAGAGTGACTGATTGTATTAAAAAAACAAGTATACATTTCTCAGTGAGCTTCACTTTTAAAGGTCAACTTATTTCGAGAAGGGATTACGTTGTTATCTGTCTTGGTCAAATATTGCACAATCTCGAGCACTTCTCCAAGATTTTGAAGTATGTGCTGTGACATTCGGCCACAACTGCATTCAATTTTAGCTCAATATCTAAAAAACTTGCCTCAATACAGCCGTTTTTCTACCTTTTGACAGCAGATCAAAGATGTGGAATGAATTTACCTCTTCAACCTACATTTCACACTGTGGATAGTACAGGACATTATGACTGATAGAGGAGTGTGTCCTCGGTGTGTGTTAACCTGGAATGTTAGTGAACGTATAGCTGGAAGTGGCTGCACCATTCCACAGGGACGTTATACCTCACTGCACAGTAACACCTTCCCAGTGGCCATCAGTACAGATGAGAAAATCACAGATCCATGCTCGTGTGGCACACCTGTCTCCTCGGCTCTTGGTGATGTTGACCAGCTTCTCGATCCCGCCCGTATCGGCCAGGGCTTTTGCATTTTCCATGTTTTTGCTGGTGACCTCATGCAGGGTGCAACAGATGGCCGTCACAGTCTCATCTGACAGCAGGGAGGTGTTTCCTCCAGGGAGGCGGTTTACCAGGTCCCTCATTGCGTACTTCCCTGTAAAGGAAGGAGGGGAGACGAGGTGAGGCTCGTGGCTAATGCATAATAGCACGCTTTGTGCAGCGGAGGAAGTCGATGCACATGCAAGAACTTGGTGCAGTCCCTCCCTCCTGTTGTATTCTTGTTATGTAAATGGATTCCACGCTGACCTTAGCGGCAACGTGTGGCTTCTGTAGCAGGAAGGATGCATTAATTCTGCTTCACCCTGCAGTGTAGTAGGCAGTTTTCCTAAGTGACACTGTAAGGGCATTTTTAGAGTGTGCATGAGAGAGGATTGCTTCTCCATCTGTCCTTCTGTGCTGCAACCCAGCTGAAGAGGCTCAGCACTTGGGAGTTGCAAGTCAAAGACACGCACTCACTCACTCACTCACTCACTCACTCACTCACTCACTCACTCACACGCCTCTAACATCACCTTAAACAACTAAACCTCATTTTCCTTTAGCATCACCTCTGCTAGCATATGTTAGCCGATAAAAAACAATAAAGGGTTGCAGAAATGTTGTTGGAGCAAAATAAAGTTTTACTGAGATTTTTTTGTACACTGTTGTTTTTCTGATTGTAAACTTGACCTTCAAAAGAAATACTTCCATAGAGCAGATCTAAAACACCATTTCAGCTGTAATATTAGCTTGGATGGTAGAAAACAACACCGTGACTACCTGTCTGGAATGAGTAAATTAGATTTAATATGCATTTGTCTTCGCAGATTTAGCTGCTTAATCCATTTCTAGCCATCACCACTATTTGTAAAACTTTATATTTATTTATATTTCTGTTCAATCTGCAATCAGTGTTAATATATTTAGAATTATTGTCCTGTTTTATATTTTAACCTGATAGTCTGATGCTCTTGGGACTTTATTTATCATCCATCTTCCTCCTTATGTCCTCCAGGTCCTTCTGGCTAAATCGCCCAGTCTTCTGTATTGTCGTTCTGTATTATTTCACCATCATTCTTTCTTCAAGGAGACTTTTCTTTCTCTGATTTGTGAGCATCCAACATATTTTTTGAGTGTCTGTGTTACATTCCTGGTCATGTTTGTAAATGAGAAGTGGTTCTCAAACAGTTCACCTGAATAAATAAAGGTAAAAAAAAAACATACATTCTGTGTTCTCTATCTGATTCCATTTTCTTAGTTCTTCACTAATACACAGAGTAAATAAAAGCTTTATTTTAGTGAAGAACTAAAAACATGGAATTTTTAAAAATGTATGTACAGATGTATAATAGTGCTAAGATGTGCAAATGTTCCAAAATTCTTAAACTCTCATAAGTTTATTAGACTCTTGATCCATTGATGCAATTTGCAGAACAATCCTTCTTATTTTGTTAGCAGTGATTACGTTTACATGCGGCCAATATCCGGGTTATGATCGGGTTAAGGTCGGTATTCAGGTTTCTGAGTTGATCAGAATAACCCGTTTACAAGCATAAATAGAAAGAGTTACCCCTAACTTGCATAACCCGATTTAAATTACGGACGTTGGGGTAGCGTCAGGACGTATGGACTACGTCCAGACGCAATATGCGTATATTTCGCTGTCTCTGTACTTTCGGCCGTCAACAAAAGACATAATTATCATACTTTTCACCAGACCGATGAAGACAGAGGTTTCCTCGTCACTCCAAAAGTGTGGTGCTGTGCCGCGACTCGCCATGTTGCTCCCAACTTGTTTACTTCCGGTGTTCTGGTGCATACAAGACGTCTCGCTACTCAAAAGACCAAGATTCCTTGCGAACAGAGCATGCGCAGAACACACGCTTTGATGGGGATATCCCGATATGCGTTTACACGACCAAACATTCGGGTTAGAAAAGGGTTACCCCAGGTGTAGTAACCGGGTTTTTAAAAACCCGGTTATGAGCATATCCGGGTTTTTGGCGGTGTTTACAAGGACCTGTGGAACCGGGTTATTGTGAATATTCGGGTTTTAAAAGGGTTACTGGCTGCATGTAAACGCACTCACTGTGACACTGTCATCTGTTTACAATCATAATCACTTAGAAGAAATAAATGAGCCCCGCTAAGCCACAAATCAACTTTAAAACTGTTTGTGCATCCAGGAAGTAGCCCCTGACGTAACATGAGCAGAAACTTTAGCTCCTTATTAATCCAAACAGTCTTCACCTATAAGCTCTTTGTTCCTGATGTCCAACGCCATGTTCCTCAGCGCCGTGGCGACTGAACACACCACCCTGTCGTTGTCCATTCGCAGCAACTCCACCAGGATGGGCAGACCCTTCTCCTTACGAACAGCTGCTCGGATATATGCAGCAAACTGGATGCACAAAAGGTGTTAAATGCTTCAGAAAACCCTCTGCATCCCACAGGGAAACCGATGCAGTGTGCAAGATAGCATTTGTAAGAGCTGAACTGTTAAATTATGTTTACTGCATCCAAAAAGGAACAAGTTGTATGTTTGTGCTCTACCTTCCAGTTCCCAGCTGACAGGTTCTGGAGAGACCCGGCTGAACCCTCCAGAGTGGCAGGATTGGAGCTTTCCGCCAGCAGAGTCAAGTAGGGCTTAACCACAGAGGGGTGCCAAAGCATCTCCGCCCCTTTGGGAGACTTGGAGATCCCGGGAATTGGCCCCACACCGTCCCACTAAAATAAAGATTTTAGCCAAGTTACACGCTGGAAATCATTTCAGTGAACTATGTAGCAGAAACAGGCTTTGTGTTATTCTGTGCCGCAAACTGTATCTGAAACACTCACAGAGTCTTCCTGCAAGCTGTTTTTCTTCTTCTTTTTCTTCCTGCCCCAGCAGCTGGAGTCCATCTCCTTACTGGGCGACTCGCTGCCAAGTAAGCCGTCCACCTCCTGCCCTCCCATCAGTCGAGATGGCAACATCTCCAGCTCCAGACGATAAGACAGGTTTCTTAGAGTGCAAATGCAGTTCTCCACAATCTGGAGGACATGAGAAGAAAATGGGGTTTGGAGGGTGAGCCGCTAACATTGAGCCTTTTAGCATCACCACACAAAAAGCAATAATTATCATAGTAATTATCAATATTTCTATGTGCAGTTTAGTTGCAACAAGAACAAAAAAAAACATTCTTATAACATTTGATTCTTAGAAGAATATTTTGGCCATTTTGAAGCATTTTTCTGTTTAAAGATCATAAAAAAATTTGTTTGTTACCCATTAAAATTAGCTCCCTGAACAGCCTCGGTTTGGAGAAATGGCATTTATACTCACGGGAGTGATAGGCAAACTGTGCCTTGAAGATCAAAAAGTGAATATTTCATGTTTTACACAATATTGTCATAAACTTTAACTCTGGCTTTTCACCGAATGCAGAAGTGCCGTGTAACATAATAGACGAGTTTCCCCCCTGAGCTCCGCAGCGCGTCCCTTCTCACCAGGAGCTTTTCAGTGGGTCCTGCGAGGTCATGAAATTACTGGAGAATTTCAAGATCACACGTGACTTTGGCAGTTCACACGATAATATTTATGTTTTACTACAGCCGCTGAAGATTCACAGGTATTTTTACTAAACTAGAAATCTTTTATTTTGAAAGTTGCCGGATGTTTTACACTGCTCCAGTTTTTCCACTTCCTGTCTGGCCCAATCTGAACCGCTGAGCTTGATGTTTTCTGGAGACGTAGCAAGTAACAAATAGACTTGAGACATGAGTTCAGCAGAACGACGAACAATACACCATCATCTAGAATGGCAGCCGTCAGACGCTTATTACGCTTCGTGGACACTACGTGACGCTTAACTCTAATTTATTCTCTGTCTGCAGAGGTGCGGAGACAAGCAGTGCCATTATCTGTTGACACAAGGACAGACTATCTGTCAAACGCAACAAAAAACATGTTTGTGATTGGTCAGCCCAACAATAGCGGCAGTGGTGGTGGATGGACGTTCCACCAATGGTGCCGTCTTCTTTAGTTTCTCAAAATTAAAGCAGTTCCAGCTCAATGAAAACTCTGTCGGGCATTGCTCCTCGAGTGGACTGGTATTTATAAGTATAATTGTTTAATATTTTATTTAACAAAATAGGAAAAATGACTAAATCCATTATTTGTCCATTTAAATTCACACCTTCTTTAAGATGTTTTTATTCACAAGCTGAAGTTGATAGACTCGTCTACCAGAGACTTCACCCTCCAGAAGAAGTCTACGTTGACGTATAAAGTAGCCTTAGAAAGCCGAGGTTACACCAGCATCATCATTTACATTTCATTCTTTTCAGTTATTTCCAAAGGTAAATGTCACTATTAATAGCAGAATGTAGCACTTCTGGTGACACCGAGAGGTAAAAGCCCTGGCAATAAAGAACATTTAAAAAATCACTTTTGTGCTAAACTGAAGGGAGTGTAAAGGTTACACGTAATATTTTGGAGAATGGCAGCAAAAGCAGCAATAGGCTAGACTCTTTCACCACTCATCACATTTCAGTGTTTTTTGATCACTTTCAAGATCAGTTTTCAGGATTTTCCACTGATCCTGATTTACTCTCATGCACAATGGGTAAGATAGTAAATATGTACGTTTTATAAACAGAAATTAATTCAAAATGGCCCAAAAAGCCACTGTTATGCACGCATTTGTTGTTTTTCTTTTGGCGAAAAAAACATAAAACAGTAGCTGCTAAATGCTGTGAAGTCATTTAGTCACAAGCAATAAAATTATTCAAACAGAGACTCTTATCGTGCTGCAGCATATTCTCCTCTTGGCTAAGGGTGTGTGTGTGTGTGCGCGTGTGTGTGCGCAGGAGGCTTTGTGTGGTGTACCTTGCTGTCGAAGTCAGAGGTGTTTACACAAGCTTTAATGACGTGGAGCAGTGAGTCAACCAAACCCTCACAAGTACGCATCTGTTTTCTGGCCTCCTCACCAGCCGAACTCAAGTTCCTTTAAACACACACACACACACACACACACGCACACGCACACGCACACACACACACACGCACACGCACACACACACACACACACACACACACACACACACAAAGAAACACACACATCAGGCATTCAGTTTTGAAGCTTTGCTCAACAAACAAACGTGCACGTGTCCCACTTGAAAGCGTAATGTGGGCTTTGCCATTCCCAGACACCATCTTTAATGTATGAGATGTGTTTGTTTTGGTCCAACTGAAGTAATGATGTTGTTTACTGGGTAAATAAACTACCAACTTCACCTACGCATGTGCACATAAATACAGCAAACTGTCTCCAATTTAAGTCTGAGCACAATGTCTACAAAGCCAAAATGTCAAAAGGAGAGGCGACGTTGTCTATCTTTGAAATAGTACTGGCTTTAAAACAGAGTCATCCTAGTTTTGTTCAACTTCTATTTACAGAAGAGCCACAAGCATGAGCTAATCCCATGTTGAGTGTAATAGCACCAAAAGTCCACAGTGGGGCGCTGGTGTCCAGTGGGATCATCAGGTGGTTCACCTCAGACAGCCAGTGGTGTTCCTGAGCACCAGGGAGGAGTGAAACTTCAGCTTGTGGTCGTCGTCGAAGGTGGAGCTGCACCACCCGGAGTGAGGGATGATCACAGTGTTGGTCAGAGTCGATAAGGCGTCCCGAATGATTGTCATCTTCACCGCGTCGCACGACGACAGGTTCCACAGCACACCTGGGGACAGTCAGACAAACGTGTGAAAATCTCAGCTGTCGTGTGCATTTGGAGCAAGCCTCATTAGGTGTGGATGTGTCCACAGACAAACACAAACAAGCGGGCAGATAAAGGGCCTAAGAAAATATGTTCCTGCAGCTCTATTATCGACATCAGAGGTTTCCATCATATTTCATCTGCGGTGGATATCCTACAGGCACGAATTACGACTCCAAATGAGAAAAAATAAGAGCGGATGAGGCAGAGATCCATATGGCTTAGTCATTTGAAATGAAATATAAATAAAGTCTCTAGAAATGATGCCATCATTTTCGCTCCTTTCAAATATACTTTTGGTAACCACTGATAATCATGTACAGTTCTGACAGCCTTTGATGCTGCAGCTGTCAGGGATTAGCCAGCATGTAACATGTTCTTCTAATTAGACGGCTCTGGCTGCAGGGCTAATGCCGAGGCACAAGCCCAATTCAGCAGAATAACTGTAACCTTGCAGGAGGAGAAAAATGCATGTAGCTAGCTAGCCACTACAAAAATAAAAAATATGCCGTCAAGACAAAACTTCAAGGGGCATGAGCTGGAAGCCTGATCTGTTGTTTTTGTCCAACGACTTGCTCAGAATAGTCATGACCACTAGAGCTGGACTTGTTTTGACACTGAACTCTGTGTTTTTATTCATGGGTTATCACAAATACTTATTTCTCAACTTCACTGTTTATTTTCTCTCAGCACGTCGCTCCTTCACTCCGTCTGAAGTCGCTGAGATGATAAAAGTCTATAATAGGACCCAAGAGCCCAATTCAGACATTCCTGGCAAAAGGCTTTAGAGGAAATTATGCCACAGACATGGTGTCTCCACTTTTGCAAGTCATTTAATCAGCTATTCTAATTATCATCATCCATAAATGTTTCCAAATCCATTAATTCCTGACATGAAACATTATTGCTTCGCTTAATATCGTGCAAAAACATTAAGACAAAGATGACAATAATGTATGCTTGACTTTTAAATATGCAGCCCATCTTTCTTATCGGAGCCCCTCAGCGGTGTAAGTGGGTCTGTGTGCCAAAAAGCCAAGCATCAGGTGGGCTGCCGCGAATGCTCTGCTCCAGACATTGGCACGCAGTCTAATTTACACAAGCACATTTGAGTGTGAGCGTTCTCCACACGACACACAAAGGCGTGTCTTCAAAGAGGGTCGTTAACGCGGAAATAAATCTCTCATCCAAGCCGAACAACTTTTGTTCCTTTTAGCTTCACCAACTGCTCAATCCACAGCCCCCTCGAGCACCTTCTAACGGCAGTTTGTAGAAATGAATGTTCTCTGCAGGATATCAGATTGGTCCTGCAGAGGCAGCATGCTGGAGAAATCAACCGCAGGAATTACTGAGGTGTGACTGACAGACCTGTCAGCGGTGCAACACCAGGAGCAATCCTCATAAGTCATGGCTGACAGTCGGATGGACCGAAGCTGTTTGTGAGTAAATATTATGATGTATTTTGTGAAGTTTTGTACACTCCTTTGTGTCTTCATTTTACTTTTTTTTTCCCCATGTCCTGTCTGGCTTTGAAGCAAACAGAATTAATGTCTGAAAGACTCACAGATTTACTCTCAGGTGGAGGAGCATCAAAGCTTCTGCTTTTAATGTCACGACTGATACTTAAAACTTTATTTTTGTGGTTTTTTGAGTGCTTTGTAATTCCGACCAGACATGAAGACAGAGGTGAAAGAGAAAGGAAGAGACCGGGGGGGGGGTCCACAAAAATAAGCAATCAAGGATGAACGGGAGTCTGCTTCTAGACCTGCAGAAAAGGGACACACTTGATGTGGAAATAGAAAATCAACATTGTTTTACTGAACAATCACGATAATAAATCACAGTGCATTAAGTGCCAACCACAGCCCTAAGATATGTGTTGAACGTGCCCAAGTCCATACTTATGAGAGCACCACGTAAGAACCTGTGTGTGTACACGCGCTTGTATATGTAAGGTTTCTCTATAGGAGCATCCAATAGAGAGTGTGAGGGGCCACAGATCTGCCCTCCAAAGATGTGTAGGAGATGGAGGGAGCTCCAAGTCCCAAAGATCCAGGAGCTGTCCCAGAGCACAGGGACCCCAGGGAGACTGCAACCAGAAAAGCCCCTGCCCCCCTCGAGAGGCGCAGAGGATCGCCCCGAGTGGCCACAACCAGCAGCTGGTAGAGTCCCGGGAGATATCTGCGGCAAGCCCACACGCCCGCCTGCAGCCATCCACCCCCTAGCCGGCCGAACCCAAAACCCAGCGACCCGGGACCCAGGGGCAACCAGCCCTGCTGGGGACCCAGCAGAGCCCAAGGACCCAGATCCCACCACACAGTCACTGGGATTGATCAGGCAGACGCCAAAAATCTTATACCCCCTGACCCGGGAGCCATGAACACTCAGGCAGACCAAGACGCCGCACTCCACACCAGGTGTGGCAGGGGGAGGGGAGACGAAGATGTATAGCAGCAAAAGAAGTCCCAGGAGAGGGGAGGAGTCAAAGGTCCCACCTGACATATACAGTCATACACAAACACAATCACACACTCCCTTCCTCATGCTCACACATACACATACAACCAAAGACTTACAAAAATGCACGCTGGACACCCACTCATGCTCCCCATACACACCCTATTCATTCTGGTCCCGGTACTGCTGCACATGGGGTACAACCATTACCGGTTCCCAGAGTTCGACCCTTTCTGCTGGGGTGCTGATGAGTAGGCTCCACCACCCAACGCTGAGCAAAGAAACCCACCACCCCAGACCCCAGCCAGACAGCCAGATCTCCCTCCTATCCTCCAGCCCAGGGAAGCCAAGCAACAACAGAGGTGTGCTAAGAACCGTAGTCTCCCCCCGCCTGCTCCAATACAGTCTCAGCGCGTGTTGATGAGGTGTACTCCATGGCTGTGGTGAGCAGACAGTGCGGGCATCGTCTGGCTTATGCCAGCTGATGCCACCACACCACCCCTCTTCCCCCACAGCCCTCTGTGTCTAAGTGCAGTTTAAAATTGGAAGTGGGCACCGGCACTCGGGATGAGGCTGAAAAATCCCCCTGCCAAATGCTGTTGAATGTGCTCACTCCCAAGGCCCTAAGTGTGTGTTTGCGTGGGATGTCGTTGGTGGAAGCGTTTAAGGTGCAAATAAAATTGGGGCAGATTGCCACAGGAATGCAGAAATGGGGTCCATACCCGCACCCCCTGACTTGTCCACCCCCCAAGGTCCTATGTGCATGTTTGTGTGATGATGTGAGGGAGCAGGAGGAGAAAAATGTGTGGGGATGGGGAGGAATGGCTGGTTGGCCTAAGCCCTCCAGGGAGCCAGCTCCCCCACTGGCTCCAATAGGCACCTCTGTTGCCAAAATGCCACACAGGGCATGGAGACCCCAGCTCATCTTGCCAGGGCCCAAAGCAGCAGCATCGCAGAGCTCCACGGAGTCCGAGGGAACCAACGCAGCCCCACCCCAGCAGAATATCTACTCCCATTCCTGCATTTGCACAACTTCCAGAATATATGACATAGGACATCCAGGTAAGGTTGGGTCCTCCCCCTCCTGGCCACTCCCTCCCCTGTGATGGGACAGCAGAGGAGCCAAGCTCTACCTGAGGACCCTGAGTGCGGGCCAGGCACTGCCGCATGTTCCTGCCTTCATCCCGGCAGCATACATGTCAGGACCCGACCACCAAGGCCCTGCCCAGATCCCCTCTTTTTCCATTCACCTCTTCATTTGACTTTTAAATGCACACCCCAAAGCAACAATATGAGATAAAAGAGAGTATTTAGAATAGGCAAGTTTAACAGCTACAAAGGCACTGATGATGCAATTAAAGTTAATTAATGGATGGAGATCTTCTTTTTGATATCATGATGTCATCTAATTAGATCCACTCCTGTGTCACACCTTTGGAACTCCATCAGAAGCCTTCCACCTCCATACAAGAGCAGTTGGCAGACACTTCCGCCTGTCCTGACTCAGAGCCAAGACCAAACTTTGCGAGGTCCTTATCTCAAGTATGCTTTCTCCGGATGATGTAATAATCATCACCCACATGCAGCAACATCTCCAGCCCTTGATGACTCACTTTGCTCAAGCTTGCAAGAACTCTGGCCTCATCCTTACCTGGCCTTCCCACTGGATGTGTCAGTGGCGTGTAGTGTAATAACCACGTTTAACTCCCTACTTGGGAGTGTTTCAGATGCAAAACGGCAGTGAAAGCATTCTACACAGCTCGTTCCACGAGATCACTAAGTGACCACAGTGTTGCAAGATCACTTATGTATTTGCTGGTTTGCACGATTTTGTATCCAAAAAGGTCCGTGGTTTATTTCCTGTTTACCTTGTCTACGGAGGTTTCACTGGAAAATACATACTTTTATTTACTAGTTAAGCAACTGGCTGGGACTTTTATTTTGAAAAGTTTCTCAATCTCTTAAATAGTGTTTCTTGTTTGACTTCCTGTGTGGCCTGATCTGAACGGTTGAGCTTAAAGATAGATCCGAAACACAAATTTTGTAGAACAACACCTCACTACGCTTCTGGAATGTGGCCAAATTGCAATGGAGGCTAATTTCTGCGTATCACGCATCAGGAATGTTGTACGATGCGTACGCATCCAGTGTAAAGGCCCGGAAAGTCTAAAAAAGAACAACGTGATGGGTCAAAGAACGGTTGACCCTTTTCCGAAAGTTGCTAACAGTTCACTAAATTGAGATCTAACACCACAGACGAGCTCTCTTTTGATGCCAACATCAGCAAATCAGCAACGATCCACATTAATTTATGACAGCAAGACATGGACGACCTACACCAAGCTAGAAAAGAGGCATAACACTTTCCACCTCTTGCTTTTACACATCCCCTGGCAAGATAGGGTGCCCAAGTGTTTTGCTTTGGCCTCCCGAACATGTACACCCTTCTCTGGCAGTGGTGACTAGGCTGGTTGGGTCATGTCATTGCATAGACAATGGCCAACGCC